GTGTCCATTACATTTAGATTAAAGTTGTCTAAAAAGCCTCTGAGCAGTTGGCTTCGGCACCTCGTACGCCTCCCAAATGACCGGGACCCTGTGGTCCCGTGGATAGTAAAAATAAATGAAAAATAACTTTTTGACATTAAACTAAAGTATTTACACTGACAGATTACCTTGAAGATAAGAATGCTTGGCAGCGTGTTGGTTCGGCTCCTCTGGACAATACCCAAATGTAGTCAGTAGTTAGATTCCAATAGTAGGTAATTTAATACTTTCTTTCTAATGTAGACAATCTAGTTTACTTATGGCATCGAGCTTTTCTTTCTTTATTGAAACAAAAAGTTTCCTTTTTCTTGAATTCGACTTTATAATTTCTATAATTATAAGTTTATTCGCATTGCGCAAGCGAGGCGATTAACCTTTTGAATGCATCGATATGACACAATTACAAAATACATTGTCTCGCATGGAACCACGTCTTACACACGAAAGGTTAATGCTCAAACCTTCTCCGTGTGAGAAGAGGCCTTTGCTCAGCAGTGGCCGTATAGGTTGTTGGTTAAAATTTGACTAGTTTTAAAATACTTTATCATTGTTATTTTTGTCACTTAAAAAAAATTTAGATTTCTTTAACACAGCCAATTTTATTACGTTTAATAATTTCTTTTCAGTGTGGACAAACACATCTGTCAATGTGTATATTACACTTATGCGCAAAAAAACGAAGCCACTAGCTATTTTCTCATTCACGTATCTTGATAAATATTATCTGATACCAGTATTTCATTAATTGGTAAAGTATGTCGTTTAAAACGGAATTTAGTTACCTTTACAATGACAGCGTTTTATTGTAAATTGATTATTTTGAAGTAAGATTTAAAAAATACGGAAAAGCTAGTGGCTCCGTTTCTCTGCACGCAAATGAATATACATAATAATCATTACGCCTATCTCCCATTGGGGTAGGCAGAGACAATGAGAATGCGAAATGATTCGACATCTACATAATGTTTTTTACTACCTACATTATTATTGTATTTTTAAAGGTACAATAAATACCAACTGTCCATTAATATTAAAAACATCTGATATACAAATAACCTTGCTGTATGACATCGTATTTACATTTAAAATGAATTTGTAACGAACACCCAGCGCCATCTAAGATATACAAAATATAATATATACTTAGTATAATATATCCAAAACAACTACAACTACAGACAACTATTATGAAGATTGAACACACATGCTAACCATCTGCCTTTATAAGCAGAGTTGTCTTCGAACAAATCATCATTCTACTAGCTAGAGGATCAGAGTTCGGTAGCCTAGCGGCCTTCTCTGAACCTAAGTACGACTAACTCCAGTTCGATAGCCTAGCGGTCTTCTGGAATTTACCAGCTAGGGGAGGGCTGGCCCGAGCGTAAGGCGCGTCGCGTTCCGCGCGCGCCTCGAAGAACCATCAGACCACCACAGATGGAGCCCAACAGGGCCGATGCCGATTCGGAGTCGCCGAGAACCTAACGAGTAACCGGGGCTCCGGTTCAACGTGAAGGAGAAGGAACGGGGTGGTTTTTAGTCAGTAAGAGTCTGACACTCCCTCCCGCCTCACCCAGGCGGGAGCTGTCATTCGATGATTTTTCCTCCCTTAAAAAAAGGGGGAGGTCTGAAAGACGATAGCGAGCAGTCCCTTTCATCCCTCCACTTAGGGTTGCAACTATCTTGATTAGTTTATAGTAAATATATGTAACAGTGAAGTTGCCAATAAATAAATACTCATCAAGAACACCAGGGCTTTAATTTCACAACCAGCAACAATACAAACTCTAAATCCATTTGCAACAAATGACTGCACGGTTGGTGCGGTGGCTGGGCAACCGGCCGCCGTGCAACGTGTCGCAGGTTCGATTTCCGCACGGAACAACACTTTGTGTGATCCACAAATTGTTGTTTCAGGTCTGGGTGTCATGTGTATGTGAACTTGTATGTTTGTAAACGCATCCACGACACAGGAGAAAATCCTAGTGTGGGGCATCATAACTGGGTACTGTTGAAACATCAACAAATACAAAATAAATAATAGTCTGTCAGTCTGTTCGTCTGTAACGCTAGATATTTCTGAATACCTAATACCTACATATGGGATACATTGCCCAAAAAATATCACAGATTAAATCAGTCTTCCCATGAATGCACAGCCAAATATACAATAAGTATACATTTTAAAGTGTACACATAAAAATTTAAAATACTTTTTTGAAAATCATATCTAAGTTGGTTCAGGCAATCGTGAGATAGGTGCACACAAACATACGAGTCAAATTGGAACCTCACTTTTTTAAATCAGTTAATAAATTACTATTATCCAACGTCAATATTGGGAACTTTCTTTTAACAAAAATCACTATGTTCCTAACACCCACTTTTCACTATTTATGTTATGAGTCCCATGTAATAGGGGGTGAGCCTATTGCCATATACCGGACACAATTCCAGATTCCAGAACAAAATTTTCGAAACACAGAAAAAACCGCAATTACCCTTAACAATAATAGGGATGATGACAGGGTATGAAAATTAAAAATATAATTAGTTAGTCCGTAAGTTGGGTAATGAAAAAATATTAGACACGTATTTTTTTGTCGTATAAGAAAACAATAGTTTTATAAAACGAATCAAAGTTTAGGAGTGAGAGGTAGCTACGTCATTTTAGAGTATAAATCGTACTCGAAAGTGACGTCATGCGATATTTCAAATCAATATATCTTCGAAACTATTGGTTTCCGTAAGAAATAAAAAATACATGTCTAATGATTTAAAATAATCTACCAGACGGACATTAAAATAAAAATTAGTCATCTACCCTATCCCAGACTCTTAAATACTATAAAATTTTCAAAAAAAACAGAAAAATACGCAACATAGCTTTTTCAGTCTCTACACTCGTTTGCCAGACTGTACTATGTATACAGAAGCTGTCGGTATACCTATTTAAATAAATAAATAACAATAATCCGGAAACATCATAATAAATGAATAATATACAACCTCCTTTTTTTTTGAAGTCAGTTAAAAAAATGGTCCCACCTTAGTTTTACAAGGGCGAGTTGATTGGAAACTTTTCTAACAAAAAAAAAAATATATAATACAACAAATTAACACACACATTAAAAAAATATATAAAAAAGTAAAACTTAAAATCTAATACAGTCTTCTTTCTTCAAGTACAACAGGTAAATAAAACGCATAAGCAGAGATAATTCATATTATCTATTCTGTAATCTGTAATAATCACTTACATTAGACGAACATCGAATCTACGACATTACCGTACGCACTCATTGTTTTATATTCAACTGTAAGTGATGTGTAATTTTATTATTCATTGGCTACTTCCACGCTGTTTACCCCACTCTGCACGGCACCTATTGATCGTAGCGTGATGTTTTATAGCTCACAGACGATAAATGGGCTATCCAACACAAAAATATTCAAATCGGACTAGTATTTACTGCCTCGTTGGCCGAGTGGTCGCAAGTGCGACTGCCAGGCAAGAGGTCTCGGGTTATTTTCCCGGGTCGGGCAAAGTACTACTAGGTTTTTAAAAAACATCTCAGTGGTCGCGCGAAGTCTGGAATTGTGGCCGGTATATGGCAATAGACTCACCCCCTATTACATGGGACTCATAATCCCTAA